TGCAGTCAGAGGTACGAGGGGTCGCGCCTTGATCGTCCCGGCTCATTGCCATCGATAGACCTACCCTCCACGAACTTACCTCATTCCCTTTTGAACCCCATGATACTTCCAGCCCTCACCAGATCCCCTGGCAATGAGTTCCGCAGGTGGCCCATACACTGGGGGACGAAGTTCTTCCTTGTGTTCGTTTTAAGCTCAGTTTGTTGGGTGATCCCTAACTTGCGCGCGCCGGGGTAAACAACACGCCCTTATTCACCTCCTCCACGCCAGGCACGATTCTACAGCCCTCGCCTAACCCCTCAGCCAAACCCCTTTGAATTGCCTTGTGCTGGGTGAGCTGCTGGGGAAACATGCCTCCCGGTCTCCCTTCCCCCTCTGCAGGGCATCTACCGGGTTAACGGCGTGAAGACGCGTGTGGAGAAACTCTGCCAGGCGTTTGAGAACGGGAAGGAGCTGGTGGAGCTGTCTCAGGCCTCCCCTCACGATATCAGCAACGTCTTGAAGCTCTACCTGCGCCAGGTGAGATGTTCCCGACCCCCCGGGATTCTCTCTGCACGGCTAGAGGGGAAGAATCACCAAGAAAGTTTCCCACTGGGTCACCGCTGGGGGGAGAAGTTGGGCCACAAACTTGGGATAAACTCTGTATGCCCGATGCTCGTGCTAAGGGTGGAGCTAAGGTATCGAACTCCCGGCTCCAAATCGGGAGCAGGCCAAGGAATTTCATCCCGCACTTTGCTGTGTCTAAGTCCCAACTCCGGAGAGAAAGGGGGTCCCCCCACAGCTCAACTTTTATCCTCAGCAAAGCAAGGCTGGAGCCCTCCACGAACTCAAGGGCACTGAAACCAGAAGGAGCCCGCCAAGACCTCCCTAAAAATCTATTAGTTCAGTAAATTAACAAACAGCTCCTGTCCGGGGCAGCGAGGGAGAGGACTCCTACTTTCAGATGGCATGGCCCTGCTGCTGAAACCTTCCCATCCAGGGGCTCTTCGGCAGCCTGTGGGCATGGGGATAGTGGACAGGAACCCTGGTGGCAGCTGCCACCAATTCACCCCTTCAGGGGCACGCCCCAGGGACAGAATTCGCCCAGCCCTCCAGTTCAAAGAAGGCCTGTGGTCGGGGCTACGGGCAGGAGAGACAGGCTGGGGGATTTTTTTCCAGCCATTGCTCAGGCTAGGCCTGGTCGAGGGGTCATTTACAAGCTCGAACCCACCATTAGACACGCTGCCTACGTGGAGCAGCCTTCCGGTCTTTGCAGAGTCTTTCCAAAGCAGCTAGCCTCCCCCGCCCGGCAAGAGAGGAAGTGACGTGTTCGGGCTCAGACAGGGAGCGCGTGGCAGGCCCGGCCGCTGAGCCCAGCGAGGAACCTGCCAGGCCGATTCGTGCCTTGGTGTTCAAGGTGCTTGGTTCCCAGGGCTCTCCCCGGGCCAGGGCCCCAGCTGTGAAAATGGGCCTTCAAAACGGGCCACCCACATCCTCCAAGGAGGCACCGCAAGGCAGAAGAGGAAGCAGCGTGTTACTCACACCTGTTAACCCCTTGGGGGCTGGGTTTTGAGCTGCTAGAAGGGGTCGGACACCAAGGCCAGGCCCTTTCCTAGTCTCCAAGGGCCTCTTTGAGGGCGGTGGAACTAGGCTAAACTACAGCAGCCAAGGCCACGGCCTGTGGGGCAAGGCAGGACAGCCCCCCAGGAAAGAGCGCGCAGACCAACACCCGGCTCTGCTTTCGAGTCCCTCATCAGAGCAGGCAAACCCCAGCCAGGGCGACGGGAAGTCGTGATTCATGAGACGGGAAGTCGTCTCGCTCAGACACGCCAGAGGGAGTGGCTCCGTGGTTGAGGTTTGCTTGGAAAGGCGATTGCAACGCCAGCAGTGCGAGCGCCGCCCTGCGGCCGCCGAGGGGCTCAACGGCGTCCCATGCCGCCCGCAGCCCTTGGCCGAACTCTCCTGCGGCGCTGTGCAGGGGGCTTGCCTGCTCCCCGTGCTGGCTGTGGGGCTCCGGCTCTGCAGGGCCTCGGGAGGGAAGGGGACACAAATCCAAAGTTCTGCGATAAGCAAGCGTCTGATTTACAGGAAGAAGTGGCAAGGGGGGCCTGGGATCGACGCGGGACTCCGAGGGGGCGGCCGAGAGCCGTCCCTCCCGTCCCTCGCCCCATTGCGGGGTGCCCAGGGCTGCGGGAGCTTTCTTTGCCATAGAAGAGAACCTGCCCCCCCTGCAGAAGAGCTCTCTCGGCTCAGCGAGCCCGCAGGCAGCAGATGCAGGAGGGAGGGGCCCCTCCCCCAGGCTATGGGCATCTCGCGTCATCCTGCGGAGCCTCTGCCTTCACGGAGCCCTTCCCCCTGCGGGTCTCTCTTGCAGCTGCCAGAACCCATCATGCCCTTCCGGCTGTACAACGCACTCATGGGCCTGGCCAAGGAAAGCCTGCAAGGCGCGGGCGACAGCAAGCCCAAGTCCGGGAAGGGAGGCCCCGAGCTGGTGGACAAGGGAGCCGAGACGGACAAGACGGTGGTGACGCTGGTGACCAAGCTGAGGGAGCTGCTGAAGGAGCTTCCGCCGGAGAACCTGGCCACGCTGCAGTACATCGTGCAGCATCTGAGACGGTGAGGGGAGCGACAAGGGGGGTACTGGGGATGCTGCAGCACTTGCTGTCCCTTCTTGAAATGGGAGGGGGGGTTCAGGCCCGGCTGCCCCCCACAGTGGAAGCTGAGTCCTCTCCAGCCCTAGCCAGGTGGGGCGGTGCTCTCCTCTCCCCGTTGAAGGGGGAACGCCTCCTCACATCCCTGGTGCTGCATGAGTTCTGTCTGTCTGGGCCCCTTCCCCATCCCCTCCTCCCATGACCCCGTCTCTTCCCGCTCCCTGGCGCCTTCAGGATCGTGGAGGTAGAACAGGACAACAAAATGACCTCGAGCAACCTGGGCATCGTCTTCGGGCCAACGCTGATGCGCCCCCGGCCCACCGAGGCCACCATCTCCCTGTCCTCGCTGGTCGACTACCCGCACCAGGCCCGCATCACCGAGGCGCTCATCATCTTCTATGCCACCATCTTCGAGAACAAGGCAGCCGCGCTGCTGGCGGGCCTGACCGAAGACGCGGAGGATGCCGAGGAGAAGGCCAGAAGCTCTAGCCAGGTGGGAGTCTGAGCCCCGAGCCCTGCAATTGGGGTGGGGGTGGTGAAGCGCTTATCTAAGCAGCCCTTCTATTTCTGCTTCCCCCATTGGGGTGCCTGGGGCGAGAGGAGGAGGGTGTGGCATGAGCAAGCTGTAAAAAGGAAGGAAGAAGTAGCCAGTGCCCCCCAAGGAAGCAGAGTCTTCTCTTACCTCGGGCAATCCACCAGCGGTAGAAGGGCAAAGAGGCAACGGAGTTGACCAGGCCCTGAAGGTGCAGGGGAAGGAAGCTTCCCACCTACTTGGCGTGAAACAACTTTTTGAAGCATTCGTGCCAAGTCAGAAAGCAGAATCTAAGCCAGGGTTCAGCCAGCTGCCTCCTTGGGGGGCAGATTCTCAGGCAGCCCTCTTGCCCTGGGCTGTGTTTAAACCCACACGTACCAGACGCCCGCTAGCAGTTATTGAGTAGGACGGTGCTGTTTGGAGGAGGCCCCCGCAAGGCCCAAGGCCCACAGCTGTGCAAACACGCACACGCAGCCGCCAAGACAGAAAGGGCGAGGGAGGAAGGCTGGATTCCCTCCCCCGCTGCGCCTCTGTTCCTGTGAACGGCGTTTCACGAGCCAGACCCCTCAGAGCCAAGGGAACCTTGCGAATTAGCGTGAGAAGAGCTGAGTGGGGCAATGGCTCCTTCCTGCCCCTTCTCCCACCCCGTGTTCACCGTGCTGCTCTTCTACCTCTCCTCGCAGGACAGCGAGCCCACGGCTCCACACTGCAACATCCCGCACCTCGAGGTGTCCTTGGAGCAGGGGGAGCTGGACAGCAACACTGACCCATACACAGGTGAGTCACCGCCGAAGACAGGCCCTGCCCTCCCCTGCTGGCCTTTCCAAGGGTACGGAAGGATGCCAAGGTAGCGCCGCAGCCTGCTCCAAACCGGCCAAAGGCGGAGAATAACCCAAAGTTATCACCATGGGCTGAGCGGGCAGGAGTCCACATTGCCATCAGCACCGGTTGGCCATGGGTCACTCTCAGCAGAGAGGCCAAGGGGACACAGAGAAGGGCCTCTGGCTGCGAGGCTGGCAGGGCTGAGGAGGTTCTCATGCTGCTGCCGCCTAGGTTGCATCTGCGAGGTGGGAACGGATCAGCAGCTCTCCCGGGCAGGGCTACACGGGGGAGCTGGCAGGGGTAGACGTACGAGTCACCGTTCTCCCGCCCGAGCAACCGCGGCTCTGCGGCCCTTTCCCTCACAGCTGAACGGATGCAGGGGTTTGCTGCTGTACAGAAAAGCACCAGAGGGACCCCGTAACCAACAGGGGACAGATTCAGGGGAGGCATATTTCTCTGGGAAGGAAAACCGGCCTGTTTGGCAGTGCCCATGCGGCCCAGAGGGCGCAGCCGGCAGAGCCGTTGGGGACAGCGAAGAAAGTCAGTTAAGAGAGTCCCTTGTATCCCACAGGCTCTGGCGATCACTCTTTAGATTCTGACTCGGAGCTGGAGGAGGGGCCGGAGCTGCCGGCTATCCACGAGGAAGCCTCAAGGCAGCAGCTGGCAAAGCAGGAGAGCGAGACGAGCACGGACGAGGCTCAGTTCTGCGACGACGCGAGCGAGGGGCAGCTGAGCAGGACTTGCAGCGTGGGCCAGTCGGATGCAGAGGCCTCCCTCCAGCACAGCCCGGCAGGGGAGGAGGAGCAGAGCGACCCGGAGGAGGAGCCCGTCTCGGAGAGGGACGGACAGGCGAGCCGGCCCCTTTCTGACTGTAACACGAACCAGTCCAACAACGCGCTGCTGGCCGAGCGCTGTCGGGAGCACCGGCTGCTGCCCACCACGCGGCTACGGGACGGCACGATACTGGTGAGGTCAGCCAGCGAGCGGCAGCCCAGGTTCGTCTAGGCTGCCTCCCAGAGGCTATGCAATGGACAGGGGGCAGGGCGGCTGACCTAAGAGGCTGGTCACAGGCAGCTAAGCACAGAGCCAGGCTGGGCATGTTCGGGGACGGTTCTAGCGCAATGAAGAAGGGTTTCGTATGCTGGCTGCAGACAGTAGAGTCACCTTTACCTAGTGCCTGGAGCTCCCATACCAACCCCTCGGCCAGGACACTCCCATCAGTCTGACAAGCTGCCTTTCCAGCTCCAGTGCCTCGGCTCGGTCGCAGCTCGAGCCACCAAGCGTACCCCTTCGAAAGGTGGCTGTCCCCTTATCCTGCTGGACTGGGAAGGGATCCAGGCCCTGCTGCCAGAGGGTTTACGTTCGCCTTCACCGAAACAGCTCGCCAGGAGCAGAGATGCAGACAGCGAGGAGTCCAGTGCGCTGCTGTGATGACCGAAAACTCCAGCTGCTGGGGCTAGGAGGGACCCCACACAGATGTGCTTCCACATGTTTTAAGAAAGCTCCATCTACTTCCCCCTCCAGCCTCAGCATCCCAGGAGGCAGAGGGAATCTCTTACCCTGGCGCAGAGTGTGGGGCCCCACGCCGCTTTGTGCCGTGGAGAGGCGCAGGCTCGGGGGTGGCAGAGGACAGACGGGATGCCCCAGCAGTGGGCCGTCTCCTCCCACAAGCTCCCAGCGCGGGCGCCCAGCACCGCCAGCCCGTCGGCAGGGAAGGGATAACGCTTCTGGATGCTGCTGCGTATCGAGGCTGCGCACGCCTGCGTGATGCCCACACACACACGGCATCAAACATGCCAACTGCAGCGACAGGTCACTTAACTAGTGGCCTGCCCTTCCAAGCCCCATGGGGAAGTTTGTAGAACTGTTCTTGCAGATGGTCGTTTTCCGCTTGGCAAGATCGTAAACGATGCTGCATGAGAGCTGCCAGCTGTGGACTTGCTGCTGTGAATGAACGCGGAGGGCGGCAGGCCTGCTCTCTTGTGCCTTGCGTCCGGCTCCTACAGGCAGCCAGTTCCCTTGCGTGGGTGCGGAGCACTCGCAGGAGCCTCAGCCTCTCTGAACGTGCCTGCCTTGTGGGCAGTGACATGCCCTCTGCCCCGGTTCACAGGCCAGGACTTGTCTGAAGTGGTAGCTAGCTCTTTAGGTGACCGGTCAGCACGCGCCCGACACTTGCTGGGCAAAGGAGCTCAAGGGTTAAACAGAACCAGATGCGATGGTCTTTAGGGAATGCAGGCGCCCACATCGCTGCGGTAGGAGACTGAACGTGCAAACAGAGTTTATAACCAACTGCCTGAAAATCACTTCCTCTTATTCCCACGCCAGCCTGTCCTCAGGCTTCCATGTTCCTCTTGCGACGGTTGCTAAGCCCTGGAAGTGAGCAGGGTAGGAGACTGAACGACACCAGCTCCCCAGCTGCGTCAACTCCCCTGTGCTGGGGGCTCACCTGAACCAGGCGGGGCAACTCCCACCCGCTGTGTGCGTGGGACTCCCAGATTCAGAGACCTGCAGGCAGCTGTGCTCAGTCCCTGCTTTGCCAGCCCACCTGTCACGTTATGTGTACAGCCTGAGCCGGGTGCTGGGGCTCTGTGTGTAACACTGCCCCACCCCAGAGTAAGCCCCTCATCCCCCTGCAGAGCAGGTGGACCCGGGAGCTACGTCCCAGGCCTGCTGCGAGGGCTACTCGATTCAGCCGAAAACCAAGTCAGGATTCAGCTTTCTGCATTTTGTCCTCAAAGCGGCTCCCCCCCCCCCGGGGCCCCCCCCCATCTCCCACTGTCACTTGTGCACACGTGGGCAGGTGCACAAAGCCAAAGGGCAAGTTCTAGCTTCCCTGGACTCACGCTCCCGTGGAACATTGCTCCCCAGTGGCAGGCTGCATTCCCTAAGCCAGCCGATCCCCTGAGAACAGGCGGCATCCAAGGCGATTCAAAACCACAGCTAGGGCCTGAGCTGTTCCTGGCAGTCCCACTTCCTCAGCAACTTACCAAGTTCCGTGGCAGGGACAAAACCATGTGCCCCGTTCATGGCTTCTCCACTAGAGGTCACTACACGCAACTCGTGGACTCCGCAGACAGCCTGGAGCAAGAGAACTTGACACACTCAACCCATTCGGGCTCCACCAGCGTTCCAGGCCAAGATCCCTCCACTGACGGCCCTGGGAGGTGTCTAAACAGTCTGCAGCTCAGTCCCTGCTCGGCCTCGGGCCTAGCCACTGTGGTACTGAATGGACGGCCACCGCACAGGTTTGGGTTGGTAATTACAGGCTCTTGCCTGATGAAGAAGCAAAGACTGTGTTGTTAGACCAAACGTTACCAACTCCAAAGAGGATCAGTAACCGCTGAAGCAAGAGGAAAGAACCAGGAACGGGCCATCTCTCCACCTCACAAGCACCTTTATTTTTTCACCACCAAGAAGCTGTTCTGGGATTACTGTAACCAGGCGAATGCCACACAGAACAACGGTCCAGAGCAGACTGCAGACTGAGCTGGAAGATTGCAAGAGGCCTCACTGCACGGTCCTTCAACCCAAGGGTTACATTTTACAGCTGCTTGTTTCCATCGTAGGAGAAGGCAGCAGAACTGCCTCACTACGTTCCTGTCCTGTCCCTGGCCAGCGCGGCGAAGGCTGGGCGGGTGGAGATTCGGTATGAGCAGTGTTGTGTGTGCTTAGCATGTGCCACGTGTTCTGTATTCGTGCAGCGTGTTTAGCTGACCATGAGTCACAGCCTTGCTGTAAACAGCAGTATTACCTCGTTTGTGCTCCGTACAAAGCCACACGCTTCAAAGAAATAAAAGTGGTGAGATGAGTGTTGCCAAGCTAAGCAGCAGCGCATTCGAACCCCCCGTCCACCCCACTGAGCCACAGAGCTGAGAGGAGACTCAGCTGCCACCTTCGTAACCAGCCTCAGCTGCACGGTGGCATCTCAGCTCCTGTGCAGCAAGTTTCTGATCTCAACCCTAGGGTGACTATTTACCCACAGGGGCAGCAACATGAGGCAGTGCACTCCAGTGCCTGGCATAGCCCAGGAGTCAGGATTCACAGGTTCTATGCCAAATGCTACCACCACCTTGCTATGTGATCTTGTCCCAGTCACTTCGTGCCTCAGTTTCCCTGTCTGCAAATGGAACAGTGCAGGGAAAAGTCCAGCTAGCTAAGCAATGCAAGCGTGGGAGCTATTAGGAAGGTGAACAGGTAACCGGTTAACCAGTAAGTATCATCCTTTCCAGGAAACTGGTTAACTAGTACCCGGGAGCAGCCGCCCACCCGCAACCCAGCGCAGGCAGAGGGTTGCTCCAGCCTCGCAGAGGTCAGGAGCTGGCCCCCCCACAACCTGCCCGAGTGGGAAAGAGGATTCGTATGCAGAAACCAGCTCCCCCGTGCTTGGGACTGCCAGTAGATCCAGCTGAGTCAGTTAACCAGTTTAACCTTAGTTTTAACGGGTTCACTGATTAACTGTGATTGTACAGCCCTAGGATCTATGGCTGAGGACACCGGGAGCAGATTTCGTTAGAACGCTTACAGGTTCAAGATGTTACCAGAAGGGAAGGGGAGGAATCTGGAATAGCAGAGGCAGGAGGTTCTGCTGCAGGGGCAGCTGGAGAAACGCTGCACCAGTGCGAGACACTTGCAGCACAAGCCTTTATTAAAACACAATTCCACTCAAAATTCAGCAGCTCGTGACACTGAGCGTAAGTCCAGTCAGCAGGCTTGTGGGGAAAGAGACAGAGGGAAGAGCTAATCCCCGGCACCACTGCTCTGGGTGAAAGCACACCAGGGTCAGGGCAATCCAGAGAGCCTGTCAAGCGGAGCTGGACAGGGCACGGCTCAGACAGCACAGGATTCCGCCTCCTGGAAGAAAGAGAATCTGGAATTTCTCTCCGAAATTTCAGACAATCTGTCGCTTGCACTGCCGCCGAGCAGCCGAGAATTGCGCCCGGCACCAACCGCCTCGCGTCTAACCCCACCTCCAACTCAGCCCTCCCGTTCCATACGAGCAAATTCCCTTGCCCCAAGCAGAGCGGAACACGTGTTCCATGCAAGGAGAGGGTTACAGTGTGCACGGCATGAGGCCCCATTTAGTTCTCCTTTGGGCACAGGGGAAGTTCCCTGCCATGCACTGTCTGGGGCTTTGTCCAGGTCGGTTTAAAACATCCCACTGCAGAGATGGATCCTGCTAACACGAAGTTACAGCATCAATTTCTGACGTCGTACAACAGCTTCCCAGCCAGGCAACCCCGTCAGCAGGGGGGTGGATCCACGTTACCTGCTGCACAGCATAGGCTATTGAACCAGGCGGTAGGTGATGTATCGCCCTGCAGTCTCACTGGGTCTTATGATCTTGACCACCTACAAGGGCAACAAGAGCAGCTTATAAGCAATGAAAAGCAGCTCGGAATTTCACCTGGAAGGGTTCCCAGCTGCTGGGATTAGCTCAGGTGCCCAACGAAGAGGCAGAAGCATTCAGCCTCGGGAGAGGAGAACACAACACCGCGGGAGGAAACCAGTCCCTGAGACAGCTGCCTGTCGCTAGGGGACAAACAACGTGCTTCTGCGGCATGGTGTGCAGGGGACAGATTACAGACAGGCCTGTGAAGCAGGAACGTGTGAGTTTAACACACCATGCCGTTGCGTGGGGTGCAAGGCCAGGTAGAGGGTCCATCAAGTGAACCTTGACCCCGGCTATGCTCCGTGCCTTACACACATCCCAGTGGATGGGGGGAGGCCTGGTGAGAGCTCAGCCAGATTAGGGTAGAAATGCAGAAGCCTTTAAAGAAGCTTTTTAAGTATCAAAGCACTCATTGGTTTATCCCGAATCAGAACCTTGCCACAGCTCTCTAGTGGAGAGATTTCCTACGGGGCCCATCAGCACCGCACCCTTCGTAGAGAAAGGGGGGGACAGCTGAGCAACAGCAGCTTAGCTCCCATCCCAAAAGCAATGAAGATTCCTCATTCAGATGCCCCCCTCCTGGGGAGGAATTTTTTTCTGAATGAAGAACCTGCAGAGCCAGCTGAAGACCCAACCCTGGGTATGTAACACACAAGGCACTTGGTAAGATCTGTGCCCCAAACTAGAGATGCAGCAGTGCAGCTGCTTAACCGATGAGCAAAAGCTTACAGGTTAATGCTACAGACTCCACGCATTTCTCCCCCACCGTCAGTAAGGGTACGTCTACACTTGCTCCCTAGTTCGAGCTAGGGATGCAAATGCAGGCGACGGAAAATGCTAATGAAGTGGGGATTTAAATATCCTGCACTTCATTAGCATGATCTCGCTGGCGCGTCACTCCGCTCAACAGCTGATTCGAAAGTGAAAGTGCGCACCATTTTCATTTTGAGGAGTAACGTTCGTTCGAACCGAGGGTATTGGTTCAAACTAACACGTCCCGGTGCGCACTTTCACTTTTGAATCAGAGCAGTGCAAGGCAACAGGCAGCCAGTCCACGACGGGCTGGTTTTTAAACTGGCTCCCCTCGTGGACCAGCTCCCACCTGGGCTCCTCGGGAGTGGGGCCGAAGCGCGCTGGCTGCTGGCCCCACCCCCGGCAACTATAGACTAGTAACTGGTAAGAACTCATGAGGTTCCTCGATTATTCAATTAACCGATATTGAACATCCCTCCCCCACACTCATAACATAACAGGATCCTGCAGTCACCCTGCGCAGCTTCCACTAGCCATACTAGAGGTTACACACGAAGAGGCAGGGACCCCATACTCGGCACTAGATAGGAGGTACCTGCTAGGTTTATTTACAGGCCTTACAAAACAGAGCCTGCCTTGCTGCTTTCCCCCAGAGGCTGCCTCAGAGCCACCATGCTCTGCTCCTTACCTGCCCTCGCTTTATTCCAAAGTATCTGGCCACAGGATCTCCAGCCTGTATCCTGGGGAGTTGGTTCTCTCTCAGCTTACTGAGACGCACAGTGAAGGAAAAGCCCCCACCAGAAGGTTGATTATTCGCCCCGGCTTTCTCCCAGCAAGAAACAGAACCTACAGGTCATGCAACGGCCTCTTCAATGTAGCAGAAGCCTAGCTATTTCCAGCACTTCCATGCTGGGAGGGGCGGGAGGGGCATTTGGAGCAAACAGAAGGATACTATCTGGCGAGTAATTCAGTAACTTCTTCCTTTGTCATGACCACGTGCTCTGGAACCAGCTGTAAACACAAAAGCAGAGTCAGATCAGAGGGGAGAACTGTCACTTCCTGTGGTGTCCAAGACTAGTAAACAGGGACGAGGAAGACTACAATGGCTCTCTATGGCCCCACACCCAGCGACCCAAAATACACAGTAAAAAAACGTCAAGGGGCTGATTTACACGCAGACTGGCCAGAGTAAAGGCTGGCTGCCCTGAACTCGCTCCATGCTGCCCAAGCGTCCAACTCACCTCGTGTTCTGTGATGTTGATCAGTAGCTCCTGCTGCAGGAATTGTTCCAGGATGTATTTGGGAGCCATGTCTACCAATGACTGAAAGAAAGACCAAAAGGTTTTAAACTTCAGCCTAGGAAGGGTCCCACACAGCAATCCAAGGTGATCCTGTCTAGTCAGAGCTGCACGTCAATGAGCACCAGGCACTACAGCTAAAGCATTACCCACAGCAACATCAACTGTATCTGCAGACAGACCAAGGGGAGACTATCTTAGCCAAGATGCTAAACACACAAGCACCTCTTCTTTGCCAACCTCCCCTTTGCTCATTGCCCTAGTCTCTTCTCCCATCGCCTAAGCGCACTGCTCCCTTCCTTCATCAAGCTTCAGGTCTTATTTCTCTCCATTTCCTCTTACTCCCGATACTTATCTCTATCACTCCAGCCTTCTTTTCTTCACCACAATCTCTCCCCCTTTTGTAAACATCTCTCAGGCTTGTCCACCCCAGACTATAAACTGAGCGAGGAAGGTTTTACCCTCTCAATTGGTAGGATCTACGTACTAGCAATTCAACAAAAATCTTTGACAGAGTTTAAGGTTGCCTGAGGGTCCCTCATACCTAGCAAACCCAATTTAGCTAAACTCAGTCCCCTGAAAGCCTGGTAAGAGTTCCAGTCGCGTTGCACAGCTGTGCGGGTGTGTAATAGGGATGTGGAAGATTAACCGGTTAACCAGTAAGCATCACCTGTTAACCGGAACCAATAAGCATCACTCTTAACCGGTGGGGACTAGAGCAGCTCCATCCCCCCACCTCCCAATCTCCCATTTAAGCAGTTAACCACTACATTTAGCTGGTTAACCAATTTAACGGGATTTTACATCCCTAGCATGTAGGTAGCTCCCTTCAAGTGCACGACTAAACCTTAGCAAATGGGTGTTAAGCCTCTGTCCTCCAATGCTCGCCTGCCCGGTTACCTGAGGGTTCTGCACTACCTGCAAGCAGCACGACGACATCTTTTTTTAAAGAGGACAATGTTAGGCAAAAAAGTTAATCTCCAGGGCACTGACCACTGGGCATTTGGTACCAACTCTCCCCCCTCCCGCCCAAGGCTGTGTATCTCCTGTCCCATCCTAGCCACTCCCACCCAGCCCTTACGTAGGATCACTGCCTACCTGCTTTGCTGAGGGGGTCATGCCCTGCTGTACCACAATCAGAGCCCTGGTGATGTTCTCCTCCTGCATCCTCTGGCAGTACATCTTGATGGTCTTTATCCCGACCTTGGGCTCCTCTGAGGAATAAATAAGTCACAACACCATTACTCCTGACTGTCATAAGACTGCATTTTAAGCACCTTTGTTCTGCACCTGGTCTCAGAACAACAGTGCTAGCACATCTCTATTCTTCTCCTGGGTTTTTAAGAGCCTCCCCTTTGTCATGACATGCTGCTGCTCTTCAGAGTGCAGGTATCATCTTGCACTTCCAGAAACCGCAAGTGCAAAGTGATTCATCACAGCGGTGCAGCTGGGACTCCAGAAAACAGAACTGTTTTCATTACAAGCTAGCTGGTTCAGAGGCCCTATTGGGCATTTGCCACTTATCCAAATGTGATAGACTGTACTACGCAGCACCAAGAAAAAGAATGAACAACAGAGAGTGGATACACAGCCAAGCGGCCAAACAACCCTCCTATAAATCGCTCAGGATTGTAGCCTGGCTGTTCAGCCTAGTCAGTCCGTACTTAGCCAAAATGTTCATTGGCTTCAAGGGACGTTTTGCCTCCATAATGCCAGCAAAGTTAGGCCTCTAAGGCAGATAGCAAAGTTAGGCCTCTAAAGCAGCAGCCAGCTTGGGCTGGCTGGAGTCAAGAGCTCCCAGGAATTTTCTAGGAACAGGCAGGCCTTCTGACAGACCCACACGATAAGTGGCATGTTGAATGGTGCTGAACTGATCTAACTTGGGCCACCCAACCTGGGATTAGTTCCCAGAAACCCAGCACTTCAGAACCGATGCTCAGAAAGTTAAGCCACCCCCTCCATGCAGTTTTTGCAGCTAGTTAAAAGAATCGGTTCTAGGCTGGCACTGCATCCAGTGAGAGCTGCTGACACCCATGGAGAATAAGGTTCATGTTTACACCTATCCTCAGTCTCTCACAGCACCATACGCACCAGGAAAGAAGACAAACATCTGATCTGTAGGATCATCATTATGGGCCACCAGCACCGTCAGGTCAGTCCGCCGTGGTCTCCCTTCACTGGGCTTGTCACCAAATTGGGCTTTAAACTCTTCCAAGGTCTGATCCAACTCATCCTGGGTCACCAGATAGCCCCGATCGTGACACAACTGAGGACAACAATCCTGTTTACTCGTGATGCATATAAGATGCAGCTTTACAGTCTCCCTCCGCCCCACCCAGCAAATCCTCCCTCGTTCATGTCTCCCCACTCCCAGAGGCTATACCAAGGTTGTCTGGCAGCTTCCACTGATCGGCCAGTCTTTTGGCTGTTTGGGGTTAGGCTATCGTGTCTGCACAGCACCAAGCACAACAGGGCCCAGCCGGCTTGTGCTGTGGAGGCAGGACAGCAAGATACATGCTGAATGTTATTAACCGTCATCACCGCTCACCTGCCCTACCTGTTTGAGAAAACACCTTCTAGGAGCTCCCGGGTCCCGCAACAGGGACCAGAGTGCAGCCAACAGCTGGCTACTTCTCAGCCCTCCTGTAACCCACCACGGGCCGGGCGTGGCTCTGCCCCCTGCAGTGCCACCCAGACCACGGACAGCCAGGACCCCGGCTGGAACCCGCCCGGTGGTGGGTGCACTTGGATAGCGCCTGGTGCCTCGGCCCTGCTTTCCCCGCAGTCAGCCCCAAGCAGTGCGGGCCTGCACCCTGCCCAGGACCAGCCCCTCCCTCCGCAGGGAATCCACTAAGGCCTCAAGCCCCAGCGGGCGGGGGGGGGG